GGTTCAACCGAACCCAGCACTGGGTTCCATCGAATCCAGTTGCTGCTAGGTTCCGTCGAACCCAGCAACTGGGTTCAGTGACCCGAGGAAGAAGAGGAAGAAAGAAGAGGAAGAAAGAAAAGGAAGGAAAAAAAAGAAAAATAGAAAGGAAGAAGATGAACGTGAGTTTTTTTATTTTTTATTTTTAAAATATAAATAGTAATAATGTGAGTTGGCATGAAAAAAAAATCCATATCAACACGTTTTCAATTTGTTTTTGCCACGTCATCAAAAAAATTATAAAAAATGCCACATAAGTGAGTTAACGATCGAAATTAACAGAAGGATTAACGTAGTGCATTTCGTATAGTTGAGGGATCAAAAAATACAAAAAATTGTTGAGGGACCAAAAATGTTCATTTCATAAAGTTTAGGGACCAAATTGAGCATTTAACCTATATATATCCTTTTTTTGTTTAGCTATATATAAAATATGTTAGTTCATTCAATTCTTAATTTAAAAGAAAAAAAAAAGTCTAAAAGCATATAAAAACTAATTATTTTAAAGTATTTTTTTAAAAATAATAAAATAAAATAAAGTAAGTTTTGTCTATTAAAAATAAATAAATAAAATAAACTAAATACAAATTAAAAAAAACCTATTAAATAAAAAGATAAGATCAAAAAGAACTAAAACAATAAAAAAAAAAAAAAAGAGATGCGAGAGGTAATATTTGTGTTAAAGAGTAATAGGTTTAAGAATTAAAATATTTAGACTTATTAAAATTTATAATTTTTTTACAAAGATATATAGGACGTGAGAAATTTTTAATAAAATTTTATTTAAAAAATTTTCCATCCTGAAACAGAAATCCCCATAGGGCTTGCGCGACGTGGGGATATTGCGATTCCTACCGTTTCCTCGATTCCGACCCTGGTACGAAATCAGTCACCAAGCAAGAATCCAGCAACATAAACCAAACCAAACATCATAAGTCATAACCGCCAAAAATCCACGCGCTCCATCCCCCCCATCTCGAGCGCCGACAAAAACTGACATTTTAAGACAACAACTTAAAACCTGCCACGTGTTTGGGGCGCGCAATCATCACCCGAATTGGGAAGTCCTACTTCACCCAGGAATTACCTGTATTTTCAATCCATTCAATCAACGGAGCGGGAGTAAAACCCCTAATTTTCCATAATAAAAGCCTTCCAATTCTTTTGATGGCCGCATCGTTTTTCAATCTACCTTCCCTGTTGCTTCTCTCCTCTTCGATTCTCGATTTCTTCTTTTCAAGACCTTATAATAATCCTCGGATTCTGAGTCGCCAGCCGTTTGTTTTTCTGACATACTAGGAATACTCTGCCGGGAACAATGGGAAGACGTAAGTTTCACCTGTTCTCTCTCCTTTTTTATTATTTCCCTAATTTACGCTTTGACGATCAAAAGGAACCGAATCTGGGGTTTAAATTTTGCGTAATTATATGATTAGTCGTTATTTATCTGGGGTTTCTTTGATTTTGTTTATTTAGTTAGATTCTGAACTCGAACATGATCGGTTTTAATTTTCGTTCTTGAATTCGTAAAGCTGCAATTTTGACTTTAGGGTTTTTTTTGTTTAGGGATTTTGTTGAACTGGAATAACTTAGTTTAGGCAATTTAAACTGGCAGGTAAGGCGCAGCGAAAGGAGGCTTTGATGTTAGATGGTGATGATGAGTATGGTATCCTTGCTGATTCATTCTCAACAATGTTGTGTGATCCTGGTCGTGAAGAAGAGCAGCTTTATGAAGATAGTTTACTAGAAGAAGCTGTTGATGCTTTGTATGAGAAGAGGTCAGTTTTGATGTTATTTGTTATTCGTATTATATTTTTTGAATGCTTTAAGTTAAAAGATGGGGTTTGGGTTTGGGTTGAATGCCCATCTGAAATTGTTTCCTTTGATGTGTAAAGGGGTGCTACACGGGAGAAAGCTTTGTCAGCCATTGTGGAGTCTTTCAGTAGCAAATTGCAGCATCAATTTGTGGAGAAGACGTAAGTGTTTCGCGTCTCTGATCTGTTTACTTTAGTATTAATGTCACATATATTACAATGATTGGAAATTGGATGAGAGGGTTCTTGGATCGGATTAGATGCTCATATTTTATGCTTGTGTAATCCAGATTTGCCACGTTGCTGCATCAGTGTCTGAACTGCATTAAAAAGGGCTCCAGTAAAGAAATATATTTAGCATGTCATACCATTGGTTAGTCTCAAGACCTTGGTGCTTAGGCTCTAATTCCCTTCAAAAGACTATAACATAAACGGCAATCTCATTTTTATTCTCACAATTTCGTTTGACAGGACTGCTTGCTTTGACTGTTGGCTTCGGGGACAATGCTCGGAAAATAGTGGAAGAATCACTCACTCCTCTTTTGCAGGCCCTAAAATCTGGGTTAGAGTCTGTGGAGATAGCTTCTGTATGTGCAAGATCAATGTTTTACTTTGGTTTTGGAAATGAGTGTTTTTGTAGTAAGCTATCTTTTTATGATGCTCTTCCGGTTTTTTGGTCATATTACTCTTTTTTTTACTGTAGTTGCTGGAGTGTCTGGCCATTGTTACATTTGTTGGTGGAAATCCAGAGGAAACAGAAAGATCAATGCAAATTATGTGGCAACTGATTCATCCTAAACAAGGTTCTAAGGTACGTATTTCTGCCCAATTCATGCTAGTGGGAAAGCATCCAGTAACGTGTGTAATTGAAAACTATTATGCTTGATGATAGTGCTCTGTCAAAGTTCAGTATCTATTATGGATTGTATCAGCTAAAGGGAAAACTATGAGAGAGTATTTGTCATGATTGGCTTTATTTCAAGAACTAATTGGTTCCTCTTGGCTTGCAGGTTCTTGCTGTCAGACCTGCTGCTGTAATAACAGCAGTTGTATCAGCCTGGTCATTGCTTTTGACAACCCTTGATGGATGGGCACTCGATCCTAAAGATTGGCAACAGTATGTGAACTCCTTTGATCTTAGTTTTCATCCATTCTCGGTTCTTGTTCTTTCTTCTTAAAGACAATTGATTTTCATCACAGCCACTGGTATATTTGGCTTGTCCAATTGATAGTTCTTTATAGGATTCAAATTTATGGAAAAAAACCTTGAGGGATTTGAAATCTGTTCCTATGACGATTTTGACTACAAAACAAAAGCATGATTCTTTGCAGTCTGGGAAAAGAGATAGGCTGATCTTTCTTTGCAAAATTTGCAGGTTTATTTCATATCTTTCTAGTCTGCTTGATCAGGATGATCGATCTGTTCGCATTGCTGCTGGTGAAGCATTGGCGCTAGTTTTTGAGATAGGGGCCTTAGAGAAGTTTTCTGCTGAAAGTAAAGGGTCCAGTAATGTCTCAGATCAAGGTGGAAATAAATCTGAAGGACTCGTGTCCATAGAAGGCTTGAGGACTGAAATTTTGAATCAAGTCAGAGAACTTTCTGTCGAGGCTGGTGGTAAAGGTACCAGAAAGAAAGATCTTAACAGCCAGCGTAATTTATTCAAGGATATTTTGGAATTTCTCAAGGTATTTTCCCTGTTTTTATCATTTTCCTGAAAATGTCTGCTTCTTTGTCACTCTGTAATATTCACTATTCACTTGAATATTTTAGGATGGTTGCTCTCCTGAAACATCAATGAAGATTGGTAGGGATTCACTAAATGCATCTACATGGTCTCGGCTGATTCAGGTTCCTTTTCCTCTTATTTTCTGCAGCTTCTCTGTTAGTTGCATTCTCTTTAATGTCTATCAAATATTCCGAGGCTTACAAATTTCAATTTCTCAACAGTTGAACTATCTGAAGCGCTTTCTGGGTGGAGGATTCAACAAACACATGCAGGTTGGTTTTCTCATCTTAAGCTCCTACTGATTTAAACTGCTTTCTTTTCTCTTGCCCCGTAGTTGCCAAGGATAAAATTTTATCTTCATTTTTTCAGGAAAACGAATTCCTTCAAGATGTATTTGAGTTCGTTCCAACAAATTCTTGTCCTGATGGCGAATATTTAATGTCTAAAGCTGAGAAGGTTGGTTCCTACTTCTGGTTGACCGTCTTATATCTATTTTTCTTCTAGGACATCTATATAGTTTGCCAAGGTGTGGAAAATAATAGTGGTTTCTTCTGATTTTATGTTAACAGAGATACTACAAATCACCAAACTCGGCGGTGAACAAAGCAAGGACCCGACAATTGAAGGAGCTGCGGATGCTATCTGAGGAATCGAGATATCAATTTACGAGTTCTGCAAGCAGCACGATTCCTAAGTAATTTGTGTGCCCAATTTCTCTGATGTTCACTGTAAAAAACATCGGTCCCCATGCAGTCGGTACAGGTGATGGGGATGCCTAGATACCACCGTGCCATATATAACTCTCAAAATTTTTGCAATTTTGTTTGTGGAAAAGTTAATTTTATAATTCTGTTTTATAACAGTTATGGAATTATTATTTAATTCATTAATTTTCGGATCATGTCAATGATATAATGATGATAGCTCAGGAATTAAAGGCCCTAATCATCTAATGCTGATAATGTTTTAGTAATTTTTTATTTTTCTAGAAAAAGAAAAGCTAATGTTTATGTATTTTCCTTGGGGTCCAAGTGAATGCAAAAGAAATGGCATCCTGCATTAGAGATTTTTCTATTTAGACAGAGGACAAACCGACAAAGGAGAAACCCTCATGAAGTATGATCAACACTTTACCAAAACAAACTTCAGGAAAAAAAAAATAAAGTTTCCAAAGCAAAATGAAAATTTTTCTGTGTTGAACTCTGAAACTTGAACAGATCCATCTACTCTAACAAACAAGCGCTGCCGGCATAGAGTCGGGAATACTCACCATACAGGCGTTTGTTGTTTCCAGTAGAATATTTATCTTATTGTTTTGGGGGAAATTTTTGTATAGCATTATAGCAAAACGCAAGTGGCTAGTGCTAGTGTGTCACTTCAACCTGTCTAATAACCACCCAACCCAGAGAAGTGCTTACTCATGGCCCTATCCTTCCGGTAGTGATTTCTTCCTCCTCCTCTTCTTCCCCTGCCCCTGTGACCTCCCACGTTCCCTCTACCTACCACTTCAGATCCCTCGAATTGATTATCTTGCTCCTCATGGGGCTCTCTTTGCTGTCCCCCACCCCTCTTTCCCCGGCCTCTGGGATCTCGCACATTACCTCTCCCTCCTGTCTCAGAAACATCAGGCTGGCTGTTCTGATCCTGATGCTCCATCAACTTCTTAACTGCACCCAAAGGATGGTTACCACCACGTCCAAGGCCATATATTAATTCTCCCTGAGCTTGAGTAACTAATGAAGCTTCATTGGCATTCGCAACAGCAACTGACCCAGCAACTTTGTAACTATAATTTTTACCATCCTTGACATAGTATTGAGGCTTCTTCCTGGAACCCCATTTTGAACTAGCTGAAGGTTCAGATTCTGAACCCACAGATTTCCCAATATTTGAGCTAAATCTCTCATTTAGCATCTCACTTTCCTCAAAACCTGACTCCACAAGACTTAAACCCAGGTCATCAAAAGAGTCATCATACTCATCTTCATATTCATACTGAGCAATCAGAGCAGTTTTTCTTACTGCATCATTTCCCTCCTTGCTATCAAGAGTAGCATGCTCAGGCAAGTCATCTTTGGACTTCCTAACAAATCTCCCTACAGTGGATGAGGATGAGATGGAGGGCCCACCAACTTTATGTTCCCTAACTGCGCCCACAGCCTTGGTAGAGGGTAGAGTTACAGAATCAAGTAGCTTACCTTTCCCTTTATCATTTGATTCATTTCTGCCCAAAGCTGACGACTTGGGCAATGGCATTGTTTCCAAAGAAGGGTCCAAGTGCTTCAGTTCTTCATGAAGAGTCCCCTCGAGAATCCTCTGAATAACTTCTTCTTGGTTGTGGTTATAAACTTCAAGACATGCAGCTATGAATCCTTGACCATAATCAGGGAATAGATCCTTTATTTGGCTGATTTTAGACACCACAATTGCAGCATCTTCATCCATCTTTACTTTATTATTCATCTGAGGGGTTGTCACAATGGTTTGCTCTTGAGGAATGCCTTTTGCTGAATGGATCATAATTCCAGACAGATACTGAAATTGTTCATCATCCATGTATATCCATCCTGCATTAAATTAGAGCATAAATTACCTAAAGAACAAAATGTTGGAAATTGTTTTAGATGTCCATTATACTGATTTTCTGAGATGAATATAAAGATAATGCATATCTATGAGTTTCACCGGCAACCATACTTCTGTGCTACTAATGATATCCTCTAAAGCATTAGTTGTGTGTGCTAGCAAAAGGAAAAGAGCAAGATGTGGAAAGGGGGAGTGAAACAAAATTTTCAAACACAGGTTTACAGCATCCAAAAATAACTACTAACAAAATGCTGTTGCAAATGGAATGAATTGGTTGAGAGCACTGACCAATATCCTGCAGGCTTTCAAGTTTGCTTATTACATTGTGTTTCTTTTCAACATCCTGAAGGAAAGTATCTCTATTCTGGTTCTCCATAAATTGCAGTGAAACTCCATTAATCTCCCTAAAAGTTTGAATCAGAATATCTGCTCTTATGAATGGATCCTCTACTTTGGCAGGAAACATTTTTGTTACTGATGGAATGGGAAAGTCACCTTCAAAAACCTCATCACTGAGATAGCAAAGATCCAACAGTTTCCAACCAAATTTAACAATTCTGGTAGATAACATCTTTAAACTTATAGCAATATCTGTCATGCCTTCATCTTTGGAAGTCAAAATACTTCTAAAGCCTCGTAGTAAAGATGGAAGCAAAGAATCATGCAAACAGGCAAGTGTTGTAAGCAATTCCTCATTCCCATAACTGCATGGACAGGGAAATTTGATATTCAATTGGATTGGAAAATAGAAGCCCCTTTTTTTTTTTTATCACTTTTAGATTGTAAAGAAAGTTCAGTAGCAATAGAGGCACCTCATTTCAGCAGAGCAGGAGAAGAACACAGCTGCAGGTTTGTATGCAGCAACCAAAGAATCCATGGACACAACGGCATCATTGATGAAGTCCATGACCTGTTGTGTCATAATAAATACAGAAGATTCAAGGCTCAACAGCTGGATGTTGAAACTGACATGAGATAAGAATAAATAAATACTTGAGCAGGTTATCATGTGGGCTTAGGAAAACTGTCAGACACAGCAGCTAATACCAAAGTCATACTCCCCTCAACATAATCCAAAAGGCCTATTGTGCCATAATAGATAGAACTTTTCAACACCCTTTGCATGCAAGTACACACATGCTTGTACACACAGATAGAGAAACTTGCCTCCAGAAAATCCGTGTGAAGCTGCTTAGCCTCATGGTCTTCACAACTTCCAGAAGAAAATAGGACCTATTCATCATGAATTATGTGTTAGTAATCACAAGGGACTGATGTAAAAGTTTTATTCCAAGATACATCTACAATGCCAAAAATGACATCTAAATCTTATCTTTTAGCTTAAAGAACTGATATACAGATATAACGTTTACTCCATAAAGGGATCAGCCTGGGAAGTTATATGTCACTTAAACAAAAGAAACTATTCAGACTCATGCCCAACCATTTAGTGATATCATTACATGCATATAAGAAGAATTAATAATTACAAAAGAAAAAAAAAATCATTGTAAAATGAAAATATAAGAACAAGAGCAGCATTAAAAAAAAATGAAAAACAGGTGAATTTATCTTGTGCTAAGTTTGATATTTGAACTTTCAGGACCTCTACCTAGGAATTGCAAGAAGAGTAAAACATCATCTTTTACAGGAAAAAGAGCCTGATTAGGTTTAAAGAATTAAGATACTTTGTCCAAAAACTGTTGTGATACAAATCAAGCTGCCAGGAAAATGGAAATTTACAAGACAGCAGAAAAATTCTTAAGATCCCTAGCTTTTCCAATTTGACAAATTACCTCCAAAGATGAGCTGCAGCGCTGATGCATGGTGTGGTTAATACTTAAGAAATGAGACAATACTCCAGCCAAATTGTCTTGAATGGTAGGCTGGGCTCTCACCACATTCTCAACCTGAAAATCAAAATTATATGAGATAGAGGGAGGAGGTAGAACGGAAAGCTTCCTTTACGCAGAGGAGACATTGAAAAGTACTCTACATGCTTCAACCCTGACAGAGACATCAAGATTAGAAGTAAAAATTATTTATGATTAACACATCCCACTTTAATGAATTTCCAGTGTAATTGTCCCAACTAATTAAGTCTGAGCTAAATAGTGGGAGTGAAGAATTAGGAAAGTAAATTTTGCATCCAAACTTACCACCAGCAGAGCCTTGGATTTCAGCCATACAGGAATAGTTGACACTTGACATGTAATTACAATCAAGCCTTGCTAAAATACAATGGAAGTAATCGAAAGCACTGAAGAAAACAACAATTTTTTCAACTAGGATGATAAGCTAATGAAGCAACCCTCTAGCTGTCTTGACAAGTTTTGAGGGAAGCAATAGGTACCAGAGGTAGAAAAGTGCTTACCAGCAATTTGGTCAGATCTTCATTTTCATGACCATAAATGGCAGATATGTCCAATAACTTGGGCAAGTCAAGTAATTTCTTTTCCTGCAAAAGGACTACACACAACACTTGTGAACAAAATGTGCATTCATATAAACGGTAGAACATTAAAAAAAATAAAAAAACCATTAACAATATAAAGCCAAGCCTTGATTTCATTTCCTTCACTAAAGATGTCAATCAGGACACTTAAACATGAATGCAAAAGCTATAGCAAGCTACCCCAAATCTATATCATCAAGCTAAAATCCATTCCTACTTGTAACAAGAAGCTGCATGGTATAAATTATGAAGAAACAAAGATACTGTCCCACCTGCATGATCTTTTGCACTTAGACTATCAGCAGCCCGAGCACCCGGATCCCTATTGGAGGATCTACAACAGCAA